ACCTAAACATTTTAGCCAAACTACAACTGGCCAACATGTCTGACAATTTGGGCTCTGACTAAAGCTGCAGACAGACTAATCCTAAAGTTTTCAAGAAATCTACACTCCAGACAACCAGATACTAGCCTTCACTCACTGAGCCAACTGTGAAAACACCTGGAGTGGCTACTCCACCAACTATCAACCCTTCCCTGATCAAAACTAGTCTCCAAGCAGCCCAGTCATAGCAAACCAAGTTCACAAGAGATCGTCCCAGAATCTTGAAGCAAGTGCCAGATGAAGAACTTTCCCAGGACTGACATCATCCAAGTGCAGGGAAGGCTCAAACACGTCAGAAACAATTCATTTGGCAACAGTGGTCTAAAAATTGGTGAATAGAGTTTCCTCAGCGTGAAAGCTCAATATGGGAGTGTCTGGATCAGCCATTGCACAACCACTATAGAGATCTTGGACACAACCTGAAAGACTAGGGAAAATAGAGCTACTGCCATTTCCCCCGACACAGATAAAGAATTCCTTACACTTCAGCAGATTTAAACATGTAAAGTGCTACTACCAATAACAAACAGTCAGAAGGATGGAGGTCTGAGCAGTTCATAATTGGAGGAAAACTGTCTCATGAAGTGTAAAGATCTTCCTTCATGACTGGACGAAGAGGAACACCACCTCCAAGCTGATTTGACACAGACTTGAAAGTCTTTATTTCAAGCGCCCTAAAGGATCTACCATATGATCACAACTAACTGAAAGTTTTCTTCTCTCCTTTATATTTATACGCAGTGGACATCCGTTTTCCCATATTATATTATTCTGACAGTAGTTGTCAAAATTCAGCAAATTATATGTACTTGTGGTATTTTCAAGCCACAGTCTAAAACTAAGAACTATCGAATTTACACCAGAAAAACGGTTTGCAAAACTTCATTATAAATAACATTTCCAATATTTGCCCTTTCAGGAACATACGTTTTTAACCGAGCTAATGGTCGTACTCTGCATAAAGTTACACAGAGCTGACTGTGAGAAAAAAAATTGGGTCAACTAAGTCAACCCCGACCACGGACAGACATTCGTTTTCCCGAATTACATTATTGTGTAGCACATATCTGTCTAATTATATATATATACATTTCAAAGATTACACAGTGTATGTAGATAGAACCTGATATTAGAAAAATAAGATAAATATCAATGAAACTGCTTTCTTGAACAATATGCATATATAAAATTTATTTTTAAAATGATCTCAAATTTTTGTTTTGTACACTTTCAGTCGACATAGTGAGATTGGATTTTTATTGATTTGTTTTATAAACAAATGTATGCTAGATTATATACTAATTTGTGAAAGGTTTTATCCTTGATAGTTCAATTCATGTATGCCTATTACGAGCAAGTTTTTCCAACATTAGGTAATTGATTATAGTATTTTGGCACTTTTGTATAAAGTTAAAATCATAAATAATAATCAACGTTAAACTGGTACATAATTAAAAACATTTCATTTAGGCCTTCAAAAAGTTGACGACTCTACATGCTCCTAAGAATGACATTGTAACGTCGAAACATGTAGAGTCGACAACTTTTTGAAGGCCATAGATTGGCCTAAATAAAATGTTTTTAATTATGTACCAGTTTAACGTTGTATATTATTTGTGATTTTAAATTAGATAATTGCTCTGAGTAAAGCCTCACAGATTATGATCAGATGTGAATTCGAAAAGTCATTTTTGACTTTATTATAATTTTCCTAGAAATATAAAATTCTCGAACTTCTGACAGTACATGTTCATAAATAAATCGTTCCTTTGTGTTCAAAAGACTATAGCAGCTTCACTACTAAGTTTCTTTGACCAAAATTAGTGTATATACGGCATTCTCATCTTATAATCATGGTAGGCAGAAGCTTTTGCACAATCCTGTACGAAACTGAAATAGAACATCTGAAATTAAATTTGAAAGGAAGCATTTGTAATTACTAATTTATTGCACAGATAAATAAAAGTAATAATAACTAATTCACGTCATTACACAATTATCAGTGGTGGCTCTAGGCCTAAGTGAACTAGGCAAACACCCTAGCGCCCACCAGTACTAGGAAGGCCCATCCAAGAGACCAATCCGGGTTCACACTAGCCGATCGTCATGGCCCATGGATGATAATTACTTCTACCATCATGTGGTGTAAACATTATTAATGTTCTGGTAAGTAATTGGTAAAGTAGTGCTTGTATTTAAATGAGACCATGTGAAATACTTGTCTAGGGCCTAAAATCTCCTTGAGTTGCCACTGACAACAGCAAAAAAAAATGTACTTGCAAAATAATAATTGAAATTTTACTTTCAATTGCGTTAATCTAAAATAAACTTAATGTCTAATAATTTAAAATAAATTTGTACTTTGTTTCTACTGATAAGATGACAATTACATTAATACATCGAAATGCCGCTTTTGATGTAGTAGTTTTTTTTAAATGCAGTCTTCTATAATTTCTGGATAATCTGGAGCTCTAAATATTTTATTTTCTGTAGAAGTCATTGAAAGTCTAACAAAATGCTTATAGTGAACCTTAAATACTTTTTGATGAATTTAAACTTTTAAAATCTTTATGCAACTGTGACAATCATAGGCATGATCAAGACTCACATATGTTTGGACATAGCTTCTGCAGTGTCACAAAAAATCAAGAATTTCCACAATGGTTAATGAATCTGGAGAAAATCTGAACCTCTTTGCATAATTACACACATTCAGAATCTCTATTTAAAAGCATAAAATTATCTTAGTGATATTTCGGCAGACCACTTTTTCCCATATTCTTCACATCACTTACATTATCAAGAAACCCAAAGCCTTGAATACCAGATTGGTAAACTTCTTACCATTTGTCTGTTGATGATATGGCTTTGCTAATTATAAGAACAAAAATCAAAATTAAAAAAAATGCTGTGTATATGCAATTGGACTGTTTATTCTACAGTATAGAAAAGTTTCAGGACTTTAAGAAAAATTAATGATTCCAAAGAAATGTCATACATTCATTTTTTCTTCCAGTTTTTTGGTTGATATTTGCATTTTTGAACTCTTAAATCAATTTACTTGTTCTAGTTATCAGGGATGAATACTGCAAGTCTACAACATGGATAGCAGCATCCTATAACAAGATGACATGTACAAAAGTGGAAGACTTTTCTATTGGTCATACTAAAGTTCTGTGGAGGTGACACGAATGTGAACCAAGAAGTGTCAGTGAGATGGGCAGCCAACAAATTTATTGTGAATTTGACCAACAGCCAACAAACAGTGTCTTCCGCAGATACTGAACTTCGATTTTTTTGGTACAAGTCGTCAAGCTTACAGCTAGTCCATTGGGGAGCCCCAACCACAGATAAGCCTGAATAAGTAGGACCAAATCAAGAAAATAACGACTGTTATCTATGTATTAAACTACAATAGTAGGGAAACGAACTATTACATTTGCTTGAGGAATTTCATCTTTTTAGTTAACTTTTCCAATCAGGAAAGCATGGTCCAACAACATGGTTCTTTAGTTATGACCAATGAAAGAGAACATATTGCATGGATTAAAAAAAACAATTCATGAGGAAATTCAGCTTTACATGAGGGAATTTAATTTTATTTCATTACTTTTATCCCTGTAGTAGATGATGATGTCGAATAGCAGTGGTTTTAATTGTAGTGTTTGGAATAATTAAGTAATTATTAAATGGTGACAAGTAAAAGTTGAAATTGAAGGCATTTCTTATGTCTTTTTGTCATTGGATGTAAATAATGGTTACTGGAATGCAATTTCATATTCTTGTAAGATTCATAGAAGTTATATATACATATCAAAAGAGGTATGCAAGTGTCACTTGCATACCCACCCTCACAAATGAAGTCTCCTTGGCCCCATTTTCTGAAAGTTTATAAATGGTGTAACCTGGCATCATTTATCAATAATCATTACCGCTGACAAATAGCACACCAAAATTATCACCTATATATATCATATGCCGAAAAAAAACACAATAAATATATTGAATAAACTGAAAATATCAATTAGAAAACTCACAGAAAATTAACCAAATAGATGTCACTGAACACATAAAAGTCTTATCATAGATTATTTATGTCACTTCTGAAGAGTTGATATTCTGAATGAATGACATTTTGAAATACAAGCATTACAATATCATAATGTAATTTTAACACTAGAAATCCTACAGTACTGTCTTTAGGAAGAAATACTTCAGTCCTGTTCCTTTACACCAACTTCCAAGAATGTTCATTAGTTCCAGTCTGTGATGTTTAAGAATAAATAAAAAAAAACCTTTTCCCCCTTAATAGATGAAAGCCTAGCTAATATAACAAAAACTGAAATATTAACGAAATTTAAGTAAAATGTAAACATGAAAATTACTATCATCTAAAAAACCTGTATGTTTGGGAATATCATGACCTGGAGTATTGAAATGAATGGTGTTTTGGTCAATGTGCAGAAGCTTTTATTAGGTCTGTGTTTATATATCTGTATGAAAGGTATGAGTGTTGTGTAAGACAGCTTTAGTTTTTTTACAGAGGCTGGACAAGTGTTGCTTATACAGGATTTAAATTTCAAATCATCTTCAGGAAAAGTCTGAGAATTCTCTGTGATGGTAGTGTTGGTACTCAACCCTGGGTCTTCTAGTACCAAATTTACAATACACTAATAAAGCATGTACTCTCTAGCTATATGGTAGTAATAATTAAATAAGTGCAGAGACCAGTCAGATAAAAAAAAACAAAAACATTAAAGGTTCACAAGCTGAGTAACTACACGAGGAAAGAACCTTTGACTTGACAAGAAATCCACACTGTTTTTCAGTGAGAACAGTAATTTACATGTGGTAGAATCTGAATAAAATGGTAAAAAAAACATGTTGCTTATTTCCCTTACACCCACGTATTCAATGCAAATAATGTATTAAAATTCCTTAGAAAAACCAATTCATAGCCATTTGATAGTAATGTTATATTACTTTACAAGGAATTCATTTTATCAAATAATACATTAAACTTATTTCAAAGATAATTAAATGTATGGCCTATACAAAGAATGAAACAATCAGACATATTGCTAGGCACTGGCACATGAGACGCATGCCACGATTCTATTTGACAGTGCCCCGAATCCCCAGTTGGTGTCTTGAAAAATTAGAATAGAAAACCATGATTGATATCATACTGAAATGCTAAAATTCCCATGCCTATAGGCCCAAGCCCCAAATCTTTTAGCACCTAGCAACACCTCTGGAAACAATAAAAAAAAAACTATTATAATTTTCATTCACTAGTGATAATGTAGACAAAGTACTTTTCAACTTCTAGGTTTTTACAAACAAAATGGCTTAGTGTGATGAGTTTTCTTTAAAAGAAGTGTATTAAAACTAATACTGTAATAAAGATGTCCAAAGGATAATCTGTTAGTACACAAAATTTGTATATTAAATGTGTTAAGTGCAACAAAACATTGCAACAAAACTAATGTAAGAAACAAAAAATATTTTAATATCCATAATTTCCTAAGTCTTCAAATTAATTTATTATATCTTTGGAAATAGCAAGTCAAGAGCTCCATTTTAATAACTGAACCACTAATCTTCATCTATTCCAATTCTCAAGAGGAGAATTCTCAGAATAGAATCATTCCATGGACAGCCAATGCAGCATCACACAAGGTTGTTAATAGATGGTAGGAAACATCTGCTGCTCAATCCAGATTTTACCTGACCATATATATCTACAAGGTTTTCAAACAGACTTGGAAAAACTGTTGTCAAAATGTGGTATCTAAAAACTTTGTTTTTATCACGAAAAATAATAAAATTATGAAAGCAAAATGTATCCAAAAGCTTCAGAAACATAAGAGGGCTGAAATGGATTAATTTCAAAATGAATAAAGTTCATGGAATGAAACTTTTGCTCCCACAACAGTTCACAATGTGCAAAATTAGCTAATAATGCTACCAAATCTCTCCATCTTTTTCTTTAGCAGGAACCTCAATGACTCTGGGTTTTTCAATAATGCGTGCTTTTCGATTTCCTTTCTCTACAATTCCAATGATCCAAGCTTGATAGCCTTCACTTTTTTCTATGTCTTTACAGTATGCAGCTGCTTGTTCTCGTGGCAAACAGATCAGAAGGCCACCTGAAACAATACAAGCATTAATGTTACAAGACACACTTACTTGTTCTCATTTTGAGCAGACCAGAAGACCAACTGAAACAATACAAACATTAATATTACTTTACAGTTGCTTGTTTGCATATCAAGCATATTAACTCTTTCAGCACAGGCTTGATCCCTGGAACCAACCTCATAACCATTTTGTGCTTGTTATAGTTTTCATGCTATAACTTTTAAATTAGTAAACATATGTTAATGAAATTTGGCAGATTATCAGTAAACATTACAATACTTTCACACGCAAAATATCAATTTTTTTTTAAGTCTTAAGGTTTGTAAAGAAATGTTTTTCTCATGCCTTCCATTTATCTTTTCGCATCTTGCCTATCCAACATGCAAAGTACTTTTCATTTTAAGATTTCACATGCAAAATCTTTATAATGTCCAGACAGTTATCAAATGTTTCTTAAGAAAAAAACTTTATATTTTATCTCTTACTTTCAGTAACGAATCACTGTACGGGTTTGGTCGATTTGACCAATCTCGTAACCAAGTTAAAAAAAAAAGGAAACAAATATAAATTATGCCTTTTCATTCTAGAATGACTACAAATTATAACATGAAAACATAAATGTTTAGACTAAATAGCTTAAATCTCATAACATTATACATTTATATATATATATATTTATTATGTTTATTATATTGACCTTTGAGCTATGCCTGGCTAACAATACAGAAGCAGCACACATGTACTCATGTTACCATATCCAGTAATATAAAACTGACTTTTAGTCTTTACAAAGTCACCTGTCTTGGTTTTAATTTAATAAACTAGTATTTTGTAAAATACAGTCACATTTCCATTATTATACATTATATATGTATATAGATTATTGCCACTTAGAAATAAGTTCTTAAACTTGTTTTTCTTAAAACATAGAATAGTAACTAAATAAGTAAAGCAAACAATTATCACTTCAAGTTACAACTTTTGTACTCGGTTGCTGCTTGTCATTAAAATTGGATTATTCATGTCATATATAGAAATAAATGTATATAAGCATTTCCAAAAATGGAAAGAAGTGGGCGGGTGCCATTGGGTTTGATTCAGTACATAAGTGATATCTTAGCAAATTGAAAGATAAGAGGCTCTTATTTTATGTGTGTATAAATAAATTTGCTACATGTAATAAAAACAGTTATGGTCACTTTACCATACCCATTACAACAAACACTCCAGCACCTGATCAAAAGAAATGTAGTTTCTTTAATATAAGAACCACCATATCAATCCAAACCCACAACTCATTTCACATTGTGTAGTGTTTACATCAAGGTTCCTTTAATATGCTAGTAATTTTTTTTTCTCCCAAAGGATAACTGATCCTAAAGAGTGATATTTACATTTTTATTCTTATTATAATTTTGTAATAAAAAAAAGGAGCTGTACTGTTTAATAACAAGTTTACAAATCTTGAGAAAATATCAAACTGATAAATATCTGATTATTTTGGGGCATTCTGCATAGGAGTTGCCTTTATGCAAAATGTTGCATTAAATCAAGTATTTATGTAACAAAAGATAATAAAGAGATATCTTATAGTTAGTTTTATTTTAAAATGTAGATTATAACTGCCAATTACAAGAAAAAATATTTTTTCAATTTTTAATTAAAACTACACAAAAATCAGAAGACTTAGTAACAGGGAGGAAAATAAAAGTAACGATTCAAAGGGAACAGTTTTAATTTCCATCATATATGTATCAGATTACAAAGGATTCACTATATAAATAGTAATATACACTGATGGTATCAAGTAAATATCATTATTCTTACACTAGATGCTTTCAGCTTCAGTTCAATTCTAAGAGGCACTTTTTATATGGTGCAACTTGAAGCTTGAGAAGTGTAAATGAATTACAACCTGTTCATGTTCCATGAACTATTATAGTAGATACATACATTTATGATGAAAAAAAAAACCTTATAAAAGTTCCACACACTTGTGATTACATAAGATCATGGAACACTTCTTATAGCAGTAATGTCTTCCTGGAAATACATGGTAGCAACCCTGAATCACATTAGACTTTTCAAGAGATAAACTAACTAATTTACAAATTTCATACATTTCAATATTTCTTATAAAACTGTACATACATAATCAGGCAGTACAACTTCAAATTATCTCCTTATTTTAAAATACTGTTAAAGTAAATTCAAATTTTAAAAAATCTAATTGTGTAACAGACAATCTTAATGTTGTTTTTAAATTCAAAACTTAAAAAAACATTTTGAGGTTCACCTGAAGTTTCTGGTGAATGCCCCTGAAGTAACTGAAACATGTTGCCACAAGCTTTAGCAACAGCTGCCATCTTAGCAATAATGGGAAGATTGTGGATCACAAATGACACTTCATTATTCTGACTCTTAGCAAGATTCTGAGCATGACCTAAAAGACCAAAACCAGTCACATCTGTAGCACCATGTGCATTGTACTTGTGCATGAGTCTGGCACCTGGAAATCAGAATAAAAATAACAAAAATAATCAGAAATATATAATGAACTAGATTAACCCCCCCCCCCTTCTCCCCATTTTTGATGCTGAACAAGTAAAATCATTTTACATTTCTCAAGTAAAAATAAAAATGTGGATCATTGTTCTTTAGTCATCAATATTTAAAAAAACAAAAGTAATTCAGAAATCTTACACAACTACTTTTCCACTTCGAGACATACATACATTTAATGACAGAATGATCACAAACAAGTTAATTAAATAAAACCTTTCAACGTAATGTTATAATTAATATTATTTTTTCTCTAACAATTTTATTTTCTAAACTACTGATACAAAAGTAAGTTATTTAGATAAATATTTTTCTTTTAAGCTGAATTATTCCTCTTGGAGCCATCATTTGTCATGCCAATTATAACTTTCTTAGAAGTTTAAATACACTTAGGCAGTAGAATATCAGTATGTTGTACTGAAACATGGTTTTATACTTTTACCGCATTTTCTACGACCAACATTTTTTTCCCAAGGATAGAAATTAACACAACATTTATCCATCTACTATTTTTGGTGTCAATGGTAAAATTTTGTTACAAATACTGTATCTTTCACCTTTTTTGTTTTTAAATCTTAAAAGTGAAGATCACCCAAGAACTAGTTTCTAATTTTGATTTAATCTTGATCATAAAACTACATACCTAATTAGTACATACACCTGCCTTAGAAACTAAAATAAATATGAACTACTGGTGTCACTAGGGAATAGATTAAAACACTTGTATAATAATGTAAAGCTTTTGTTTGTTATGAAGTTAACTGTAAGGAATATCAACTAAGGTTGAGAGAGGTGAGAAGGCAACAAACTTGTGGTCAGTCTCCAAGCAATTAAGGGATTAGAATGCTCTAAGTCATTACAAAATAACTGGAGAATGGCAGCCTTTCTAAGTTAAGTAGTACAGAGACTACAAGACCCTTATGCTAATGAAATGCTTTACACTGATATACAGAAACCAGGTGCAAGGGCAGAAAGGGAGGAACTTATTCAGTGTGGGTTTGAGAAAGGAATATAAAACACAGGAGTTCAATGAAAGAAAAAAAATATGATGACTAGGAGCTGCGAGAGAAAACAAATAAATCAAGAGGGGTAAAGGAAGAAAGTAATATGCTGCCAGTAAGAAACAAAACTACTTCTAAATCTATGTATTATTAATTACCAGTAATAGATTGCCATTTGTTATGCTTACATTGGTATGAGTCAATTCCTGATGGGAGTAGGATCAACATAAATAAAGTTGATGGACATATAGGAAATAATAGTATGAGCATAGCATGATCTATAACAGTCCCACTTCTGAAACCAAAAAGTTAGAAATAGTCAACGTGCTCATTCACTTGGAGACATTGCAAAACAAATTTCATACCAATAATGAAAATTTGTGAAATTACATGGCTATTTGTGTTTTAATTATTTAAGCACTTTACACTTTAGCACTAACTATATATGCACCACAATATGTGAATGCAAAGTCAAGTGTGAGACATTACAGTTTCATTAAGCTTATCTACTGACTTACATTGCCCATGAATTGGTGGGATAGTCAGAAATATTACCGAGCTTGATGGTTGCAAATTTAAGCCATGTTGATCAGTCTCAAGAGAAAATACATTGTGTTCATCATAAATTTTATTATTTGTCTTAACAGAACCCAAAACAATGATAAGAATCCAGTAATTTCACATACAGACAAAATGTCTTTTGTGTTCATTTTGTATTTATCACCTTCTATGTGCAATGTTTAGTTTTGAAACTACCCTCTCATGTTAGAAGCATTTGTCTTTTACTCAATTATACACACAGCCATGCCTTTATCCCATTTATAATACCCAATTTATTACTTGTATAAATGTAATCAGCCTAAGAATGATTATATATACTCTTTCCCAGAGAAATCAAGCAGAACAGATGACTTCTTCATAAAAACTGTGTGAACGAATGGCTGGTATTTCTAAACACAGCAGTAGCTTATGACTGGAAATAACCAAGGCTAGTATTACAGTGTTACAACAAGACATACATTATAATCAAGGCCCTGCTGAAGGATGAAAAATGATGAGAAACATATTTAGTACTCAGTTTTTCTACTTTAAGTTACAATCAAACACTTTTCCATACTTTTTCAAATTTTCATCAAAAAAGCACTTTTCAAGAACAAGGCTTAAAATTCAAAACTTTTTCAAACCTGATCAAACTGTTTGTGCTAACTTAACAGAAAAGAATTACCTGATATAAAACTGTCATTTTAAAACTTAAAAAAATTTTACTATCTGAAACACATGAATTTGTGGTCAGTTTCAGTAGTCTTGTTACCATGCATGCACACACACACACAATTCGACAATTCCTGACAAATTCAATCTTAAACATTCTGAAAAAAAACTAACAAGAAATTTGGAGTTCTACAAATTAATGGGTATAAAAGCTCAAATTTCCAATTTAATTTGGAAAATAAAGCTATACCTTTTAATATATAAAGAAAGAAGACAGTTTTTATAATGCCCTGTCCATCAACTAACACCTGCTTTTCTAATAATGACCTTTAACACAAAAACTGTTTTATCTGGCATGTGTAAATTAATTTATCTGGACACAATAGCTTAACAGTCAACAATTGAAAAGATTTGTCAATAGGACTTCAATTCATACTGAGCCTCAAATTAACAATTTTAAACATACAAGTATCTTGCCGAGACCACAGAGGGAATGAGTGAGATTGTTTGTGTGTGTGTACTGATTTCACCTAAAAGCTATAAGGTGATGTTTCCCCAGAATAACAGGAGGTCCAGAAAAAAAATGTTTCATGGAGTAAATCTGAAGTTCCTGATTTTCATGGAGTTTGAAGAATGAAAAAGACTGGACACAATGTATATTTAATACAAAATAAAACTCCCC